GTGGCTGAATAGGACTACAGAAGTTGTCGAGGCCGTTGTACGTCATTACACCGAACACGTAAACACTCCCGCTAAGTTTGTTTTTCCCTGCGTTCTGCTTGAAAGCAAGTTCCTGCCTCCTGCAAACTGTTCAAACAAAGGCTTCAACTTGTACAATTTTGAATCTGTATGTTTGAATATGGATCTTAAGTTGGCGTGGCGTTGAAGCAGCGACCCTGCTGTAGTTCGTTTATAGCATAACGTTAGCATTTTGCTTCTGGCGATTAGATTTACGATTTAGAAAATTATAAAAGTAGGATAGACATGTGGATATTATCCGACTGAACAAAACGTGATCCGTCTCTTAAATGTGTTTCAACCACAGACCTTATTTCCAGCTATTTTTCAAAATCCTATGGAGAAATTGCATTGAGTTTTTGACGAAGGAACCGGAAGGAGTTTACATCCAGGTTTTAGGACGCGTCACTGCGGCACTCTATAAAGATACTCTTAATGACCTTTTCGAAGCAAAGCTGCATGATTAACAGTTGCTGAAACTAAGGAGTGCTGTGGAAACAGATCAGATTAACTTTTCTGAGGTTGCCTCAAGCATGGTACAAACCTCAAGTTATTTTTATTTTTTTTCTCTTTTACTGCTCTAATGTATAAACCCTGTGTTTTGTCTCTGCAGAAGAAGAAACACGCGCCAGAGAAAGCAACACCCAGGAAACGCAAGTTTGAACCAGAGATGGGCTCAGAAAGGAGGAACCCGTCCCGTAAGGCTCGTCCCCGTGAGAACTTTGCAGTAGAGGAGAAGAGCGAGCCGCTCACCAGCAGAAGCCCCAGGACGATAGACCCCAGGAGACTGATGGAGGTACTTTATTTAGGGGGTTACATTTAAAGATATGTTGTAGCACACACATTTTCAACAACATCTACAGAATACACCCAGCTTTAATGAATGCATAATGCAATGAAGTTCATAACAAAAGGGACCTTGCTTGATTTGGGAGTTCTCTATTTAGGAATTGCTTCATTATGTCATCCATAATGTAATTAGACTGTATACAGTAGATGCATGGGTTGTATATTTATAAACGGGCAATCAACTTGTGTTTCATGTTATATATTTCATATAAAAGATTAATACAAAATAAAAAGACTGTTATTACATTTGGAGAGAAATATGTGCACTAAAAAAAACAATAATACAATCCCCAGTTAGTTATCTAGTCAACTTAAAGGTGGGGTGGGTAAGTTTCAGAAACCGGCTCGAGTGCACTAAAATACTAAAGTACACAGCCGAAAAGAATCCGCCCCTTCCTTCAGACTTCCTTACAGAGCACCTCCTCCAACACACATGAACGCACATGACGTCAGCAGACTGGTGAAAGTGGCCGCCTGTTGCTGGCGAGTCATTGAAGTACTGCTGCAATGCACGCCCAATGACGGCACGCCCAATGAGGGCACGAGATACATTTGTGCGTGCACGAGATGGAAGGCTGACAGACAGGGCGGCAATCCGGCTAAACGGATTGGTTGTACTTTTGACAGTACCACGGCTTCCACAGATGACATTTTTTTTATGGATTTTTTGTCAAAGCACTTCAGATATTCATTGCTATCGGGATGTTAAGAGCATTCCATGGAATATAACAAAAAGTGTATCTCGAGCCGGTTTCTCAAACTTACCTACCCCACCTTTAAGTCTATAGAGTAAATGTCTAAAAATGAAATTGTAATTTAAAAGGGAGGGAACATTTGAATTATTTTTAATTTGCAATCTGCCGGTCCTGATTGGTCAGGTGGACGAGGAACATGTCGGTGAGAAAAAGAAAAGGAGGAGGAGCCAGAGCTCCAGGAAGAGCCAGTATGACGTGAGGTCAGTGGAGGATATCACCAAAGAAGACCTGGACAACATAGCATACCGCAGCAAAGACAAGATCTGGGACAAGGAGAATGTGAGGCACATCCGGCTTTACCTAATCAGTGGTCTTAGCAAAAAACAACACTGTTAGGTTTCTTGGGTTAGTGCGGTTTTTCACTGTGTGTGTGTGTGTGTGTTCTTCAGGGCAGCTCGTGTCACCAGTGCAGACAGAAGACTCTGGACACCAAGACAGTGTGTCGCAGTGGTTTCTGCGTAGGGGCCAAAGGTCAGTTCTGTGGGCCGTGCCTGAAGAACCGATACGGGGAGGATGTATGCGATGTGCTGCTCGACCCGGTCAGTGCTAATACACGTCATCTGTAATTCACTTTTTATTAATTGGGATTATTTTATTTTAAGATGAGTGTGGGGTCTTTTGGGACAAACTCACATCTGTCAAATCTGTGGCTGAAATGTTTATGTCACGAAACATTGTGAGTTACAGATTAAGAACCAATTTGTCTTGTATTTTATTCTTTTCAGTTTGTTTAGAAGCTATCGCAAAGTCTTATTGAAGGGGTAATGAATGCAAACAGGAAAACTATCATTCACAAGCTTTTTTTTACACATGAATATTAATATTCTGCAATGTTTGTGAGTTCTTTCTTATAGATTTTTCAAATACAGAAATGTCAAATTACAGCTTTTAAATAGAGTATCCAAAGGGCTTTTGGATGAAGATATTTTCGTAGAAGAAATGCTGGTTTCAGCTTACATTTCTCGTGACAGCCGTTAGTGAGCATTTGACAGCAAAGACCGTCAAAAGAAAAATAAGATATCCCACAGATGTACCTACAAACCCCAGCATTGCTTCACTTGTGTAGAGGAGTAACTACATGTGTTGGTCACCCATAATATATATGTTTCTCTCTAGACGTGGTCGTGTCCCATCTGCCGAGATATGTGTAACTGCAGTCTGTGTCGTAAGAAGGATGGCCGCTGTGCGACCGGCATCCTGGTGGGATTGGCCCGCTACAACGGCCACGACAATGTCCACAAGTATCTGGAGAGGTACGAAACCTCATTCTCACTGAACTGTTTACTGTTACAGACCTGACTGGGATCTCCCTGAAACAGCCATGATGTGCACATTTTAGCAATTTAATTAAGAACAGTAAGTGTAATATCCCTGTTGGGTAATGTCTGTGCTAATGCATTGAGAATGAACTAGAGGTGCAGCTTGTCTTATTTGTATATATTGAAATGTATCTTTGGGGAGCATGTTGGACAAAACAAATTCATGTTTTCATATTTTATAGAATGTTTAGTTTACAATGGAAGAAGGAAGAAAGGGCTCTGATGGCTCTTTAAGGTGCTTTCAAGAAGGGAGTGTGAAAGTACAACAACCTACAGATAGCATCGGTCAGTTAGATTGCATATATGCTCATAAAATACATGAAGTGTTTTTTGTTTCATTTCTCTTTGTATTAAGACATATTGAAAACATTGCTGACAGACAAGAATGGAATAATCTTCAGTTGCAGGCCTTACCGCAGATTGAACTCATGTCTTGTTTTGTCTCCTTCGCAGTATTCAGAGGGATCTGAAGTAAAGTCCAGAGAGATCGGAGAAGAGAAGCTGCACAGTTTCGTAGAACTCATTTCAATGCACATTTTTTTATTTAGATTTCATCTAAATAGAGAAGCAAAAACGTTTAAGTCAAGGCACATACACTGTTTATGTTTCATATGTCCTCATTAGGCCTGTTTCTGCTGTTCTGAAAGCCAGTTCTCAGGTTTGAATTGCATATTTTCATTTGATTAGTTCTATTGTTGATGTTCACTCGTAAGTATCTTAGATATGGTTATTTTGTCAGTTTTAAAGATGCAACATTTTAAAGATGCAAAAAGAACCTTTTACTGTATATACCAACTTATCTTCTAAAAGTTTTAACTCTACCGTATTTGTGTCTGTTCAGTAGGTACATTTTAATAAAGTATAAAAAATGTAAATTATTTTCTAATTGAATATGATCATTTATCGTCTTCAATGGAATCATATTGTAACAAAATAATTAATAACATATCTTGATACACAATTTAGCCATTTAAATGAATAATAGCAAACATACTATAACACACATTTCTCATATGGTCTGATGAGAAGTATTTTAAAGAAATATCACTTTGGATTGTTGTTTAACTTGCGTAGGAATGTACAAAAATAGGCTTTACCATGTGGTTACTTCATATACACTTTTCACTTATTCAATTACCAGAAATGCTATATGCTATATAAACCTTTTTTTAAAGATTTTTGGAGGGAAATCCATCTATAGTACAAGTAGGGGAGGCACACACACACTATGCTGCATGGGAGTTGTCTGAACGTCTGTGTGTGTTATCTCCCCAGGTGAGTAGGGTCAGGTCAACTGTTGCTCTTGAGCCAGTCAGCTGATCCCACATAATGAGCAGGTAGAGGTCAGAGGTCACCGGATCTTCATGAGACATGCAATGTGAGTGAGATATAGAAAGGCCATTACAAATTGTATCTAATCTAATTTCTTTATCTATAGTGTCAGTCTTGCAATACAATCAAACATCTGTCCTTGTTCTGATATTTAAAGAGTTCACTACGTCTTTCTTTGGTCTCAAAATGTTCACGAAACACCAGAGGCTACAGAGAGGTTGTAGATTTGGTGTTTTTTCAAGTTTTTGTAAGGAGTAACACGTAGTAGGTATGCGTGAGGTACTACGTGATGCTCTTTGTAAACTTGCAGTCAGTGACCTGCTGGTGAACTCCCAGAAGTCACACTTTGATCGTAGCTGGGTAACGCTTGGGGTGTAATGTAGGTCATGTTTTATTGAACAAGACGGCTTATTAGCCCGTTAAATGTCCACACCAATGAAAATAACCCAATCAGTCAAAGCTGTTTTGTGTTTTTGAGTGGTAACGCACTGTCCTGTAACAGAATGGTCACAGGTTTCATCTTGAAGGCATCAATTTGGAGTCCATGAACAGCAGAAATTGTAATTGAAAACAGTAATTGTTCCCTAAAGAGGCACGTACTCTAATCAATACACTCTGTTGTCACATTACAGCTAGTGTGTGTGTGTTTTCCATTAGATTGATATACAAAAATACCAGGGCAATAGAGTGAAATTTGAGACAGTTTTAATCACTTTATTGTCAAGTGTTATGCAGGCAAAGCATATTTTTTCTGCTCAAGGTTGTCCCTTTTTTCTTTTTTTATAGACATAACACAATTGTACAAACCAGTTTGAAAAATATCAATAAACTGGGGCCTTTGAGGCTAACCTGGCAAAAAACCCATTATCAAATGTCATGGAGACGAAGAAACATCTTTTAGAAAAAGATTTACAAATGAGATGTCACTACAAAATATCAAAGAAAAAGTTGGTTGTCCCACAAAATATTACCAAAAACATCTAAATCTGTTTGGTATCAACCTTTTCAACTTTAAACAATAGTAACTTTTTTGCTTACTTCTTCTTTTGTTATATATTTTTCTCCAAAAACAAGTTATGGCGCAAAGAGAAGAAGAAATAAAACGGCAATGGTCAGACGTAGAAAAAGAAAACAGAAGCACAAAGAGTAAAGAAGAGAGAAGCAGCACTACGGCAAAAAACTCAAACATGCTGTACACAACCTCAGAATCAACGCACACAAATACAAGTCCAGCAAAAGGCAAATAGTACAAATCAAGGATAAATAATAAATTAGCCGTACACAGTGGGGTCCTGTGTATTAACATACTTTAAGGGGACTTTTTAAAACAAGATAAATTCTATAAAATTATATGATTTTTTAAAATTTAAAAATAATGTACGCACTGAACTAACACAGAGCAACACCACCAGAAAACATTTCATAATATCCACATAGCTAAATAGCCTGACCCACCCACAGCTGTCCTCCCTCTGTCTCATCTTAGCTCTCTGTGCTGTGGTGCCCTCTCCATGTCACCCTTTAAAAATGCAAGAGGCTCCCCCTTTTTCTCCCTCCGGCTAACGCTGAGATTCCTTCTGTACAACAGCTTGTGTTAAGGCAATTGTGGTACATCGGTCAGGGTAAGAGGGTTTGTCACCAGAGCACAGAAAGCAAAAAGCAACATCAGTGATGGTGCTGCTGTCCAACAAAAATGTACCATCTGATGGTCGCTTATCATATAAAAATTACTGTGATGGCAAAGCCACCCAGTGGTGTCTGCAGAGTAACACTCTTTGTTCGGACGACAGCACTGCTTTCGGATGTTCTCACTAATCTTAGAGCGAACTGGCTAATTTTATTAACAGAGAAAACTTCCCCTGACAATGTAAACATGGTTTCACTAGGATTGTCATTAAAGTATTGCTTTCACTACACAAACAAAGTTGTAGAAAGCTAGATTGTTTTTAATCTATAGAGCTTTTTTTTCCTCATGGCCACGGCGCCTCAATAGGAATGCATTTTTTATAAACATTTTTATATGTGTGCTTTTTTCTACTCTTTTTTTTAATTTGTATTCCCTCTCTTCTACAATAACAGTTTATCCGTTGACTGGTCTCAAAGGAATCAACACCTGAACCTGATCAGAGGACTAAACCTGAACCATGAAAAAGAAACTCAAATTAGGTAGATCCTCTGGGTGACAGCGTGGGAATTCAAACGCACGCTCATTCATACAGATCACATACACACACACGCCCACCCTCCCAAGACTACCCTATCACTGCTCTGCAACAGTCCTGTACAATGATTGACCCTCAGCACTGTCTGACAGGTATGAAACAGGAACACAACCTTGTGCATAGAGTTCAATTCTGTTGCGATTAAGAAACTGTCTCTCGGTGTTTTTTAAGATTCTGCAGGTCCCCCTGTCTTGTGCTAATCTAGACATTTCTTGCATTCCTTTCCCCACAGTGAATGGAATTATTTTAGATTTACTCTATAAATGCCAAACTAACTTTCATATGTTTAGGCTAAATTTCTGTTAATATATGTGTGTTATTTTTAAATTGTAATGTTTATATTTATTTGTTTCTGTTAATTGCGTAATCCTGTTGCTTTTACTCCCTTTTTCATGAGAATATTTTTTAAATTATGTAAAAAGAAAAGTAGCCACCCCTAAAGTCCCTGCAAAGACTCCCAAAAAAACAGGAAGTCAGCCTTCAGCAAAGCAACAGGAGTCTGTTGCTTATTCAAACTCCCCCTCTTCCACCTCCTCTTCCTCCATGTGATTAGAGGTGGTGGGTGTAGCGGGGTCAGAGTCACGAGAGAGGGTCGCCACAATCTGAGGAGAGGCGTCCAGGTCTTCAGGGGCATCATCCTCCATGTCATCAGTGGTGATGATGGCCACCGCAGCTCCGCCCTTCTTGTTCTGGTGGGTCTTAATGTGCTTGGAGAGGTGGTCGCTGCGCATGAAACGCTTGGAGCATTCTGGACACTCAAAACGCTTTTCCCCTAGGGGCAAAAAACAAAGAATTAGAGAAAATCTAATCAAGAAAGGACCCTAGGTTTTCCACGTAACTCCCTAGTTGTTGACTGCTCTAGTTGGAACCTTCTCTCCAAAAAGTAAGTTGTCGTAAAACAGTTGGAATTGTTTTATTACTGGTGGAACAATATTGGTTTTTCGAATAAATATTGGTATCTTTTAACATCTTACAATCCACCAAATAAAACCCTTCACTAAATAAATTCCCACAGGTATAAAAAAAGAGGATATTTTGTAAATAAAAACTCATTAATGCCAAACATTTTTAGTGTGCACAGCATTTATCAGCAGATTGCAGTATCTTCATGTTTTAACCCTTAGATGCACGAGTGACTGGAACCCTACACTCTAACATAAGGGGGTCAAAAACGACCCGTATTAGTATAATATGTGTTTTTATGCCATTTTTGTCATTTTGGTTAAGAAAAACCACTTGTATAATATTTAGGATTATATTTTGGTTCACACTAGAAATATTTTATATTTAATTTTTCACTATTTAGAATTTCTTTTTAAATCTTGAAAAAAAACGAAATTCCACAGAAAATGCATGCGGGTCATTTTTGACCCACTTATGGAAGCTTGGGGTAGTAAAAATCTACAATTTCTTAAAATGTAAATTAGACATTTGAATGGCATGATATCCAAAACATGTTTTTTGAGGAATAGCTGGAATATGAAATGATAAAAAAATGTAATTACAAAGATACTCTAAGAAAACCACCTCACCGGGTCAAAAAAGACCCACTTATGCATCTAAGGGTTAAAAACACAACACATTCTTATCTTGCATTGATAAAAGTTAAACGCAATGTCAATTTAGTGACCTTCCCTAGTGATAAATAATCATCCATGTTAGCGTAGTCTACAGCTAAAGCCAATTAATTCAGAATGACTTAAGTTGCTCTACCACTAGTGATAATAATGGATTTGAAAGGAGTTTGGAAAAGAGCTGAAACAAAAAAAATCAACAATTTGAATGCGTTCTGATTTTAGGCTTGTAAACATAGATTGATTAGTGGGCAAAAGTAATCACAAGTTTATTATAAGTAACTATTATGTATTATGTACTGGATTCCAATTTACGCCAAATCCTTCCAGCGTCGCATGTTAACCCACATCACCGGCCCTCATCTCTGTAGGGGGAATTTTCTCCACCTGTGTGTGTTCTCCGGTGTCTCTGCAGCTCGTCGCTCCTGGTGAACCTCTTGCCACAGAAGATCCAGTTACAGACGAACGGCCTCTCTCCGGTGTGCCAGCGCAGATGGGCCCTCAGGTGGGACGTCTTTCCGTACACCTTCGCGCAGCCCTCCATGTGGCAGATGTGCTGCTTCTTCTTTGTGGGGTCCCCGCTGTTCCTACAACACACACGCTGGTTAATTTGCATCACAGCTGACCTGCACTGTGCCCTTAAGGGTTTCAATTGTACAGTACACAAGCTCTGATTGATAAACTTACATCTCTTGAGTGAATTAGCGTGAGCGTGAATATTCTCAGTGCTAGCTCCTCATTATAAAGTGAAGTGCTGAGTGGTGAAGGGTCGGATCTCTCACTTTAGGAAATGAGCTACACTGTGTTCTGACCATCTGTCAAACCAGTTATCCCATCATGACATGACAGTCGTCAACAACTTTGGGATATGCATTGAAAATATGCAAACAATCACAGTTTTTCTAACTAGGGGCTTAGTGGGGTCTATAGGTGGTGGGGAAATCTTAAATAATTTGTCCAACGCCAGTTTTCTTGTGAATGACTAAAAGAGCTAGATTCAAATATTTGTTTTAGACTTGTTTATCTCTTTTTAAGGAATACACACCACTTGTAAATCGCTATTCGACCGATGTTAAACACCACCTATGTCTTTGCAACGTGTCCATACCTTCCCTCTCCATCCCTGCAGTTCGGACAGGAGCAGGCAACACGGCGAAGCCTCTTGCTGGGCAGGCCCTCCTGGTCAGAAGAGCTTTGGACCGAGCCCAGCTGGTCTGGACTCATCGATGACCCTGATGCCACGTTCCCAACAGCAACCGTTACTGGAGACGACTGAACTTTTACCCCGTCCTGACCCTGTGGTTGACCTGAAAGGTGATTTAAAAAGGCAAAATGTTATGTTGACCCTGGGGTGGACTGAAGAAAATATGATTTTAGAGAAACTTAAAAATACAAGATCCCAAACAGTCTGTAGTTAGGGCCAGCAGGACACCCCGTTAAAACTCAACTTCCAATGGTATATGTACCGCACAACTGGAGATTGGCATGTTGAAACAGGAAAGCCTTATACGTATTTTCTCAATAACTAATGCCTAAACCAACACATTGTTTCTAAATCTGAGACTTTGGACATCCACTTAGGCCAAGTTTGGAAAAAGGCTTCCCCTCAACATGGCTTATTTAAATTGTTTATTTATCACACTCAACAATTGAACCAACATAGCCTAATATTGCTGTTTAACATTACTATCAACTAAATACAACATTTCTAACTAATTGTTGACTCTGAGAAAGTATAATGCTGTAAGATGTCCTTCTTCTCCCTTTTATATCATATTTAAGTGAATAGGTTTTTGGTTTTGGACTGACAAATAAAGAAATGTAAAGACATCACCTTGGACATTTTTCACTATATTCGGATATTTGATTGACTAAACAATTAATTAATCTAGTAATGATCAGCAGATTAATAGATGATGTACATTATCATTATTAGCAGCCCTAGAAGTAATTAATAGAACACTGCTAAATCCCTATACATTCACACAGTTACTGAGTGCGGCCTTACCCTGTAGACCAGTAATGGTGAGGGGAACACCCTGCACCTGAACCCCCGCCGTGCCCAGCCCCGCGATGCTGACAGTCTGTACCCCAGACCCTGGGTTGATCTGGGCTGCGCTCAGCGTCAGCGGTGCTCCACTCAGGGAGACCAGCCCTCCACTCCCCATTGCCGTCCCACCGGACATCGGGGCCAGTGTCAGCTGCTGTGGCATGGCCGTCCCCAGTCCACCCTGCAGGGAGACCCCGCCGGGCAGCTGCAGTGTCTGCCAGGTGATCTGCCCAGAGGGGGACAGGGTTGGAGTACGGATAAGGACCTGGGCGGAGTTCTGGAAGGCCTGGATGGGTTGCAGGGTTTGTCCTGGGGCCAGCTGGATGGTCTGAATGTGCTGATGCTGCCCCTGGGCCTGACTCTGAGGCTGCAGCTGGATCTGCTGCACAAACTGGTGCCCCATCTGGCCCACGATCACTTGCTGAATGCTTCCTGCTGTATCTATCTGGTGCTGCAGCCCGTTGGCTTGGTTCTGGTTCTGAGAGTCTGCCTCATTGTTCTGTACTTGGGTGTCAGCTGGTCCACCCTCTGATCCCATAGAAACCACTTGTGTCACATCTGATGCGCCGTCACCCTCGGCCCCTGCTGTCGTGCCGGTTGAGGCTGTCAGGGGAGCTGCCCCAGACACTGCTGTTGTCACTAGCTGGTTACCATTGGCAACGGAGAATGTGCCATCTGCTGATTGGATGAGCTGCACAGCCCCACCCCCTCCAACATTATTTATCACAGGCAGAGCCAGGGTCATGCCACCTAGGTTTATGGGTACTGTGGTCATGACAGGAGTCTGGGATCCATGCAGAGTCTGCAGCTGCATGGGGAAAGACTGTGCTGGGCGGATCTGCAGCGGGACCGTCTGATTGGCTGTACTTGTCAGGATGGTTTGCTGGTTGGCTGGCTGGAGGATAGTCTGGGTCTGGCCTGGACTCTGGGTCTGGATGAGCTGGACCTGCTCCGCCAGAGCCCCGATGGAGGATGCTGAGCTGATATGGATCTGCTGCCCATCTGCCGTCTGCAGGTGAGGGATGACCTGATACTGGACCCCGCCGCCGGCATTTGGGAGGTTCTGAACCTGGATGATCTGGAACTGCTGCTGCTGCTGATTGGCTGCAATGCTGTTGATCCCAGCTACTGCCTTCACCTTCCCAACAGGAAAGGAGAAGTGATACAGTTAACAACACAATCATTGGCAGACAAATAAAACAAACTCGCAAACCTTTCTGGATCATTCAAGGATCAAAGTGTATTATTCCCATAGTGGTTATACATTTTAATCCTTATATAATGCATGATCTATATCCTGATGTTTATGCGTATTGCATTACAAACTTGCTTAAGATGATCATTGTTACCAAACATATATAATTGTATCTAAAATAACTTTGCCGTTTTAAAGTATTATGATACTTCAACTTAAAAGTCATTATAGAAATACTTTATAATGTATTATAATATTGGTTATAAAGCAATATTAATGTCTATAAGTACTTAAACAGTGCTATAAGAAGATTCCAACCCATAATAAGTATGTTTATAATCCATTTTTAGAAATAACTGTCATAGAAAGTGAAACCCACTGCTTCCCCCACTTTTCACCTTGCGTCCACCCGCTGAGCTGTCATTAGCCAAGGTGGTGGCCACCGTCACAGCAACAGGCTGATTGGTGTTCTCTTTGGCCATAGTGGGCGCTGCTGTGATGATCTGCCAGCCGTTCCCCGTGAATTGAGCCGGGACCAGCTCCAGCTGCTGGGGCACCAGGGCCTGACCTCCAGATGCGTCCAACACTATCTGACCCTGGAGCTGACCAGCCTGCAGCTGGAACTGACCTCCCTGGAGCTGGAACTGCTGGGCCCCCAACTGGGCCTGAGCCTGGGCCTGAGCCTGGGCCTGGGCCTGGGCCTGAGCCTGGGCCTGGGCCTGAGCCTGGGCCTGAGCCTGGGCCTGAGCCCCCTCCGTTACCCCCTGCCCTCCGATCTTACTGCAGGTGGCCGCTAGCAGGGCCAACGGAGAGGGCTGCGAGGAATCCTGGAGGAGAGAGGAACGGTTAAAGAGGAGTGGCGAGGGAAGGAGGAGAAGCTAGACGGGGTAAGACACAGGCGGAAACACACAGAGAGCTCACATACATACACAAACAAGAAAGCACAACATATGAGTCAAAAAAGCCAAAGGGAAAGGGTGAGCCGGTATAAAAGTAAAACACACAAGGAACAATTTGAAACAAAGATGAGGGAGAGAAAGAGTGAGGGGTGGGGGAAAACACGGTGCACCAAAAAGAAACACAAAAGCTGAGAGAAAGAGAGAGAGCTGTCAGTGGAAGTGGGCGGTATTACAGGAAGCGAGTGGGTGGGCGTGTGACAACCACATTTCTCTTTTCTCAGAACACTGGAAGAAAAAGCCGCCTTTTCTCTTTCACTCTCCTCCCTTTCAAAAGAACTAGGTCGCAAGCACATTTTTATGCTGTACATCTTGGAAACCGTCTAGAATCTATAACAAATACAGCAATGCTACAATGCTTTTCTTGCATGTCTCACACAGAGAGATGTATTAAAGAATAACTGTCTGTCTTAAATGTATCTAAAAGGTATACAACCATACAACAATACCAACACTGCAGGTCTTTTAAAAAGTAAATCCACCTGAATTCAATTATTTGTTACCCTATTTCAAACGGACAACTCAAAGATAAAGTGGCTGAAGTGTGACAGCCATATAACTGCCTATTCAAGAGTCTCTCAGCAGGGCTGCACAGAAGCAGGAAGTGGAATTCACCAGAGAAACGCCTCCAGTGTGTCTGGCTGGCTGGGAGGGAGGGAGGGAGTACATTTTGGCTTACAGGCAAGGCAAAAGTAATGAAGTATGATAAAGTCATATTTGTTTTCTGTACCTGAGATCCAGAACTTGTCCCCTTCTTTGATGCTTTCCCTCCTTCAGTTCCAGATGATTCCTTCTTGGAGTCTGTCAAAAAAAGAGAGTATAAATGTGAGAATATCTCCAGTTAAAATATCTTTACATTTCTAAATAGCACAGTATGGTCATGTAAACACTAAGTTGCCTCAACAAAAATCTAATCATAAATGCAGTAGTCAAAACAAAAGTGATCAATAAAGATAAACCAGTAACCTCATCATCAATATGAAAAGGGTCTCCTATCTGTCAGACACAGAGAGAGAGAGGGGGGTGGAGACGGAGAGGGGGGAGGGTACCTACCACTCATAACGCATTAATATACCGAGAGAGAGGGTGTAGTTCACGGTAGAAGGCCGGCCGGGTACGGAGGCGGAGGACGGGCTATATGTTCGGCGCTGGGCCGTGTCGGATCTGCCCGTTTGACGAAACCACCCACCGGCCAGGAAGGGCGGTGCCAAGCGCAGGCACAATCAAACAGTCCTTAGATAACGGAGATAACGGAGAACACAGTGAACATCACCGGCACCCTCGCAGCCACTCCGTATGTCTCTTTTACCGTAAAGCCAGTCCATATACGAGCAAATTGGCGCTTGTCAGAATAATATCCACAGAGAAGTTGGCAGTGTGTGACCGTAGAGGCCCACCCACTTCCATTTAAGCATCAGGACAACACCCTCTCCGTTGCTCCTGCCTGTCGCCGCCGCTCCTCTCGCAGCACGACGCGGGGACGCCTCGTCTCCGTCCGTCGCGCACCGAAAACACACCGTCACCAGTGTTTGTATTTAACGCGTATTCTCCTTTTTTTCGTGCACAATTGGTTTTTTAAGGGGAAGATACTGTGAGATAGCTGTGGCTTTTGTGGGCGGACGCGCTCCTCCCATATATTCAGATTGGACGACGGGGCTCGGCGTGCGAGGGTCGAGATGGGAGTTGTATTTTGATGAGGCCTCGCCTTCTCGAGCTCGGTTAGGCTGTCGTGACTACAACTCCCAGAATGCATCGGTGCGTCAGTAAGGGCTGGCTGGAGGTAGTCATGTTGGTGTGAGAGCAAGGGGAAGGGCGGTGACTTATGTGTAGTGGGGGTTGGGCGAACGGGAAAGGGAGGTGTGTGTGTGTGTGTGTGTGTGTGTGTGTGTGTCTGTGTCTGTGTATCTGTGTGTGTGTGTGTGTGTGTGTGTGTGTGGTGTGTGTGTGTGTGTGTGTGTGTGTGTGTGTGTGTGTGTGTGTGTGTGTGTGTGTGTGTGTGTGTGTGTGTGTGTGTGTGTGTGTGTGTGTGTGTGTGTGTGTGTGTGTGTGTGTGTGTGTGTGTGTGTGTGTGTGTGTTGTGTGTGTGTGTGTGTGTGTGTGTGTGTGTGTGTGTGTGTGTGTGTGTGTGTGTGTGTGTGTGAAGGAGAAGATCAACCAACGTGCAGCTGACATGTTTTATTTAAGCCTAATATGGAAAGCTATTTGTAAATATTATTTTATGTTACAATGTTGCCTTTTCATTAAATACTTAAGAAATGCATTACATTTAGCTGAGGTCTTTACCCAAAGTGACTTACAATGAATGCAATAAACCCTAAATATTCAAGAAGAAAAGTGATGACATTTTCACTCAAAACAAGCAAGTCCATTGTAAGTGCTGGTGCATAAGTGAAATCCCTAAATACTAGAACATATATATACATTTTCAATATATTTTTATAATGTATATAAGGTACAAGAGAAACAGGTGGGTTTTCAGTTTGCACTGGTGGGTTTTCAATTCAACAGTCCCTATTCACAATCTTGAGTCAACTTTGAACTTATATGAGTAAAAAGAGTACTTTGCCATATCATAATATATTTGAAACAATGTTTAGTCTCACCTGGGCCCTAACCACATATGCAGGTATCTGTCTCTCTCTTCTTACGGCTGGCATCCAACCTGCGTTTTGCAGGACTTTCAACCTGCGTTTTGCAGGACTTTCAACCTTCATAGCACACACGCCACACATGCACTGCACTACTTTCATTGCTGACATATGCACATTGTTGTTTTTGTGTGGATCTTAGTTTAATAGGTAATTTCCTTTTTTAAGTAAATTTGTCATTTAAAGGTGGGGTAGGTAATTTTGGAGAAATCAGCTCGAGTGCCAGTGGCGTAAGAAGGTTGTGATTGGCCCCGGTGCAAATATTTTTTTTGGACCCCCCCCCAACTCAGCGCTGCTTGCTTCTTTTTTTTTTCTCTCTCTCTCTCTCCACTTTCAAAATCTATTTAAAACTCATAATAAACAAACAAAATTCCCAAAGTTGTCTTGAAATGAACTTAATAAATAAACAAAACGAAAAATATAGCCTACTTATGCAAACAACATTGAATCTGGACTTGAAATGATTCTGGTTAGGCCTATTCGGCATTATTCCTGGAGCACGCGCTCTATCTCTCTTTCTCTCACTCTCTCACTCTCACTCACAAACACAGGCTTCAAATCAAGTTGTCATTATTACAACAAATACACACTTGCAACTGATAACACTGGCAATTATTTTATATTTATTAGACTATTCAAAAAAATCATGCTTCAAAAAACAACGGCACAGCGAACTAATCACACAATCACAGAATGAATCATTCTTCATCATGGCACAGCGGCCAAACGTTATCACAGACACAGGTTAGGTGCGCACCATACGCATTTTCCAACATAAGAGAGGTCACAATTACATTGTTACAGATTTAAATCTCCGATCCCTCTCCATAACAAGAGAAAAGCTACTCATCACCATTAGAAGTTCATCTTGCGGGCCTTGCGCTCAGCAAAGTCGCCAACAATGCTGCTCAGGTCTAACTTCCGGCCCCTGCTGTTCTCTATTGAGAGTGTTGCCAATCCACTGAGTCGTTCTTGTCCCATGCTGCTTCTTAAATACGTCTTAATCAATTTGAGCTTTGAGAATGAGCGTTCTGCAGTCGCAACAGTGACAGGTATGGTGAGATATAACAGCAATGCTGTGCACACTTCGCTAAATGTGGCTGCCATTGAGCTGTGGTCCACAATAAGCATCTTGGTCATATCCTTCACAGATGGTTCTTTAGCTATTTCAGTCTTAAAGCAGGCTCTGAATGCAAGAAGTTGGACGGGGAAACTCGGGGATAAATCCCTGCTGTAGTGGTCCGCGAGGCGCTGCGCGTGCTGATGAAGGGCATTATCCTGCGCACGGTTCAATGTCCCGGGGTGGATAGCCTGGAACAGTTTGTTCGTTTCACGCATAGAAGTGAACCTCTGTGACAGCTGGCTGTTAATGATGTCCAAGCTGGCGTTGGACACATTCATTCTGAAACGGCTCTCGCCATCACTAAGCCTCTCGTCTTGACTGAGTTCATCGAAGTGGCGTTTCATCCTTCTTTTGCGAGTTTCCGTGAACTCGCTCTGCGCTCCCTATCTCTCAGCAAGATTTTGAGCGGTGCGTTTGACCTGGTCAAAGTCATCTCGGTATGCAGATAGGGCCTGTATTGTGTTTTGGAGGAGACCAACAGCTTTGTGGATGTCTACATCCTTTGCCTGCAACATCTTTGACACTGCATTCATGTTTTCCAGTATTTTTGTCTGTTGTACGACAAGAAAAAATAAAGCTGAATTTTTCCATATGGTTTTTTAGGGCTGTAGCCTCGTCCCGTTCCTCCCTCTTTTCGCTGACCAGAGCGATTTTAGTTAGAGATTTCATGATATCTACATACCGGTATCTAAGGGCAGCAATTGCATCATGTCTTGAGCACCACCTGGTTGGGCAGAGGCTCTTCATGGTAACTTTACCATGCTCTGAGAGTTCTGATGATATGATACCGGAAAGGAGTGACCATCTCTTAATACTTTGGCTGAAAAAAGTATAAAGAGTCTCAACAATATCATAAAAATTGCACAGCTCCGCTATATTCTTTACGGAGTCATTCAGTGTCAGATTTAAATTGTGTGCAGCAAAGTGTACATTTTTGGCAAGCGGTTCCATCTCCATGATCCTGGCCTGCACACCTGAATAGACCCCACTCATGTTCGCCGCGCCATCGTATCCCTGGCCCCGACACTTGCTCAGGTCAAATCCGTTACTCTCTATGCTGTCCAGGATTTTCTTTTGGAGCTCACGAGCTGACGTGTCCACTGTTTCCACGAACCCCACGAAAGCCTAGTTTATCAGGATATCTTTTGCGTTGTCGTTTTCATCCCTCTGGATTGTCACATATCTATACACTTGCCTAATTTGGTCTCTTTTGGAAATATCTTGGGTGGTGTCCATGATCACAGAAAAAAAACGGAGCATTATTTATTGCTACTTGAATGTCGCACTGCACCCGCTTTGCGATTATGTAGATTATCTCATTTTGAATAGCTGGACTCAAGTATTTCACAGAACCTTGTGGTCGCTCAACAAGTTATTTCAGAACCGGATCGTAACATGCTAAAAGTTCTATCATACTGAGAAAGTTTCTAGTGTTGGGCTGTCCAAGAATCTCCCTATGTCCTCTAAAAGCCAAGTTACAAGTGGCCAGAATGATTGTAACGTTGACAATACGCTCAAGTACCTTTCTCCAGTAATTAGCAGCATTCCTTGCATTCCTCTCCATGTTTGCATCGATTCTCCCATTTTTCTTCCACTGTTCATATATGACACATGCTCCGACATGGACCTGAGATTGTGCATGTGAGTCAATCCTCGCAGACAAATGTTGCCAGTCACAAACTCCTTTGACCCACGTATCACTGTAGAATGGTGCACCTCGGTCTGCAAACAGCCAGCACGGCTCACAATAGGCACAGTCCAGGGTGGGGGAGTAACACAGCCATGTCCGTGGCAGTTTGATACCTGCTCTGGTAGTGGTGGTGTAATAGATCTCGGAGAAACACCTGTTTCCTTGATGTGTGTCTCTGGGGAATGGGCCGGTAGGCCTACATGGGCCAGTTGCTATAATATAGCCTTTGATCTTGGCGTCGGGGGTCTCAATAGCGCCATAGAGTCCCCTATCGGTTGGGGAAGGGGCCCTTGCGGGAACTGTAGGACCACCGCCGGGCACAGCCAAATCCATCCTCTCCTCCTGGCTCATGGCTGGAGAAGAAGGTCGCACAGCCACGGATACAGCTTCACTTGTGGAGCTAGATGATGGTGAGGCAGGTGAGCTATCGTTAGCCTCCGGCTCCGGCTGCCGCTGCACGATAACATTACCAACGTTAGCGTTCGATTTCGAGGACGATGTATGACAAAAAAAAAAGTCTAATTTTGTCAGTTTAGCCTTTACTGTTCTCTCTTGTCCTTTCTCTTTTGAGCGCCGCTCTTGTGTTGGTTTGCTGTACATTATAAATGCTAGCTATTCAATTTGTTATAATTCTGCCGATCTTGCTGCTGCTATAGCTGTGTAGTACATATAACTTTTGATGTTGATTTAACGGTTCGCTCATCACGCAAGGTATCACATGACATGAAAGGGAGCAAGGTCATTGGACAGACAAATTAATTTAGGTTGCTAGGTTACTTTGAAGACTGCGTGAACCAGTCAATGCCATTGGGGCCCCAAAAAACATCATTGGGGCCTCAAAAAAAAAAAAAAAAAAAAAAATAATAATAATTATACACATTTTATTTTTTCTTGTTGCATGGGCCCCTGGACGGCTGTGGGCCCCGGTGCAATTCACCGGCTGCACCGTCGATAGTTACGCCACTGTCGAGTGTGCTAGAATTTGAAAATACACAGCCGGAAAAAATCTGCCACTTCCTTACAGAGCCCCTCCTCCAACACACACGAATGCGCACATGACCAATAAGGGCACGAGATAAGTTTGTGCACAGATGGAAGGCTGACAGGCAGGTAGGCTATCCAGTTACTTTAGCCGTGCCGGCTAAAATGATTGGTCGTGCTTTTTACAGTACTACGGCTTCCACAGATGAATTTTTTTAATGGATTTTTTGTCAAAACACTTAAGATATTCATTCCTATTAGGATGTTAAGAGCATT